TGACCCTCGGCTGCAGCCAGGGCAGCGCAGAGGGGGTTCGCAGCCTGCAGCTGCCCGGGTTCTGCTGCCATCGCCTCCCACCAGCCCGCATCTCCGTTTCAGCCCTCGAATGAAACAGCAGCGTGTGTTTGCTGGACGAGCTGTCGGATCTCTGGGTAAGTCAGCTTGGTGCCCTGCCTGGTTTCTCTGTGTGTGTCTCGGAATTTGATGCTCACAGAGGCTAAAGTAAAACTTTATTGTACTTCTGTGTTTGGCATTTACATCCTGTTTATGTAAATTCTTCAAACAGCTTGATTTGTAGTAGAGAAAAACAATTCTTGCTGTATCTTTTTGTCCTTTGAAGTGTCCATCCACTCTGGAAGAGGAGAACTTGTATGGAAATTAAGTAATTTGTCTGGATGTTTTTGTGAGACTTAACTCTGCAGTCTTCCAACCGATTCTGGTCATGTCATTACCAAACCTCAGACTGAAAGTTTTATGTGCTCATTTTTCTGCTTGTGTCTTAAAATTTTGGCTGCGTAAGACTGATTGAAAGGAAAGGGCTAGGCTAGAAATTGTTGTTAAGGTTTGGAAGCTGTGTTCGTTGTGTGTATCGCAACCTTTGTCAAGTTCGAACGGGCAACTGCCTTGGCGTTTTGAACAGCAGGGCTGGGGAGCTGCCGACAGGGTTTGGTGGGTCTGTTCTGACAAGCGACTGGTGCTGTGCCGTGGAAGCTGAAAGTGGACGGCAGACTGGAGGGTAATTGTGGTTTCATCAGAGCCTGCGCGTTCAAATTTAAACTATACGACAGAGTGAGGATGGCTGGAAACAGGATCTGGAAACAGGGTCCTTTGCATCCCCACCACCTGTCATCTTTTAGTCCACATAGCGTGGACTTGTTCTGAAAAACTTTCCAAGACAGCAGCTGTCATCGGACACTTGTCCAACACGGAACACAACAGGGCAGCTGCGAGCAATTTGGATTTTTCTGCCTGAAGCTGCCTCTGCAACAGGGCTCTCGAATAAAGCCTGAGGGGGTGACAGTCACATTCCTCTGGCTGTGGCCCCAGCAGTGCCCAGGAGTCTCCGTGTGACCTCGGCAGCTTCGTTACCGTTTTGAGTTCACCAAGGTTCAATTCAGTTGGATCATGATGTCTCCTAAAAATAGGCTTCCACTCCAGTGTGGACAGGTGTATAGTAGCTCACGTGGATAGGGGAAGGGAAAGCAGTGCAAAAGAAGGTGTGGTTGTGTGAGGAATACAAATGGTTCTGAAAATACTTCCCATTTCGTCTGAGCTGTCATTCCTCCCTGTGCTTCCTGCTCTGTATTAATTCTCCCTTCTTTTTTGGCTGCTAAAATCTGGTCATCTTAAGCTAAAAGCTTTCTCACAGTTTTACCAAATTGAGCCAGGTATGCAAGGGGAAACTGTTTATTCAGGAGTGTCTTCCAGCAGGAAGCAAAGAACAGGAGCTAATTTGCCCGTGGGAGAGGAAAATAGTGTCAAACACAGGGAAGACACCGCATCATTGAGATCTTAAGTCTGTAGTTAATAGCGCTTGAATAAAAGCACCACCAAAAATGCATGTCAGCTCCAGAGAATGGGGAGAGCCTGGACGCTGCTGACCCTCCCTAAACAGGCTGAAAAGAAAGCTGTTTCAGCACTGGTATAAAGTCACTGTGCTGGAATTGCAAAGTGCTGGGATAAAAGCCGCAGGAGACTATTTCAAATGCCTTGCAGTTTTAATGAACTAAGCTGCATAACATCCTGGAAAGCTAAGCAAGCCAGATTCTCGTCTCGAAAAAGGGAAAGCACAGACACTTTAACTTGCAGTTTGAAAAGGAATGATCTGGAAATGGCCACAGCTTTCCCAGTCTCTCTGCTCCCGTCAGATTCCCGTGAATCATGCTGACTGGCAATGACTTTGTTAGCTTTGCAGAGCGCTGGGGAGGACAGGGGTGTTTTATTCAAGTTTGGATGTTGCCAGTACACCAAACTAAATGCAAAATGAAGTTTCTTCTCCTTTACGTCTCCAGCTCTGACAGCAAAGAAGTCAAACAGGTGTAAGGGAAGATGTTCTGAGTGGTGTGTACCGGCAATGGTGCGAGAACATGCAAGAAGGACGCAGCACACCACAGCTGGTGCAGCTAAAGCACGCAGACCTTTTCTGTAGCTGGTGGCATGTGAGGGAGACGTTGTTAGTGTCCTGTAGACTTTGATTCTTTGGTCCAAATAACCTGGCAATTTCAGCAGGGGTGAGGCACCTCTAGGAACAAGTCTAAATCTCAAGCACATGTCTGAATCCACAACGAGAGGCCTTTTGCTGCTCTGCCTCGTGTCCTTCAGACATGCAGGTTCTTCACACCTCTGGCTTTGGCGAGTGAGTGGGTGTTCCTCAGAAAGAAGTCTGGGAAAGTGTAAGGCCCCAGTTCAAGGAGCTTGCCCAAGATTTGTATCTGAGAGATTAGAACCCGATTGCTCCTGGCTACTCCCTGCTCTCACCGAAGTGCTGCTCAAAGGGACCAGCTGTAGTGCTACAGCTCCTTCTGTTGGGATACAGCTTTAAGGAGGAGAGTGGGAACATCAGCAAGAGAAAGAAGAATGGATCTGTCCAAGGCTGGCTTGCAAGGCTAACGCTTCAGAAAGTGGACTCAGATAGGAAGGATCGCTAGCATTCATTTCACTGTCTTTAATCAGCCACCCGATTAAAGGTGGTAAGCACAAGATGCATGAACTTTGATCCTTTAAAGGGCATGTCTACCTGGTGGTTTCCAGGGACTTTTAAGTTTCCCACTGTGATTTTCTGTGTCATTTAGGTGTTTCTTCTGGACATGCTTACTCCCCTGCACCTGTACATTATCTTTTTTACTAGCTGAAGTCTGAGCCTTAAGGGGTGCAGGAGGTGGGTTCTGGGAAATGGCTGCCCTAGCCGGTGCATCCTGGGGTGCCCTCTTCTCAGAGATGGCACTTCCACCACTCCCATTACGCACATGCTGTGGCAGCTTCTCCGCGTGGGTTACCAACTCCTTGATGCAGTCTAGAACAATGGGGATGAGGCTCACCACACCCCCATAATAATTCTTTGCTTCATCACAGCTCAGGTGGTTCACAACATCATGGGGGTATCTGTGGGACAGAAGGAAACAACTGGCAGAGCAGTCCCAGCAACGCACACCTGGTGAGCCCCCAGTGCCACCCTGAGACCCCCCCCAGGGAGGAGCAGAAAGGCACAGCCAGCAACTTCCCCCAGAACAAAAAGGCACGGATAGAACTGCATCTTGAGGCATGAGTCATGCCAAACACACCGTCCTGGCTGCTGGGCTCGATCTGAGGAGCCCAAGAGCGCGTGCAGACACTTGCCCCACAGCAATTAGCTACATACAGAGCAGGAATAGGAGGAAGGAGGAGGTAAACTGCCCGAGCATTGCGTGGGACTTCAGGGTTCTAACCTGCCTGTATGTGCCCTTCCATGCACCATGAAAGAACAGATAAACAAACCAGAGGAGTGAACACACAAACAAACTCCATTTTTGTGAATGGAGGCTGGTGATGTTTTCCCAAAAGCTGGGATAGTAAACTGGGTTGCACCTTGCGCACTTCAGAAAGGTGTTGTAGCAGAATGATGGAGAAGTCAAGGGGGAATATGAATCCCTGTGACTGTCCCCCAGCACTGCCAATTGCCTTAAAGAAACTAAGCTGATGGAGAGACCTACTTAGCTCGGATGGTGCTCAGATCATTGCTGTGGTTAAGGAGCAGCTTGCATCTCTCCAGAATGCTGTTGTTACCAGAATGCAGAGTTTCCAGCTTGTGGCAGAGCTTGCTTAGATCATCGCAGATGTTTAGGAACATGTTGAGGATACGCCTGTCTGTGGAATTGTTACAGTGATGGTCCCTGTAGGATTGTACCTGTACGTGGAGAAAGACAGTCATGCACGTTAAATTACATTTAACTTGCACTGCAAAGTTGCCTAGGTTAGTGACCAGAAGCTGTTTTCTCTTGTGACTCTGCAGGCATGAGCTGCCATGGAAACTGCAATACCGTGGCAGGCAGTAAGATTTCTAGAGCATGCCTGAGATGTTCATTTGTCATTCATCATGACTGAAGAAGGCTGGGGTAACGGATCTGCTCGTCAGCACACCAGTGAGCCTGCCTCCCTCTTTGAAGAATGGTAGGAGTACTGCGGCCAAAACCACAGCTCTGCTGCAAGCACCGCAGAAACGGGTTGGGCATGAGCGGAGTTTTCTGCCTGCCCCGAGCACGGCACCCTCTGCCACGGCTGCCTGAGTAGAGCCAGGTAGGAGGTGAGGGCAGCCACTAAACTGGGACAGGTTTGGAGTGATGGCTTTGCATCATGCATTCCTCATAGTTCTTTATCTGGCACCACTAGATGTGACTGCAAACTAAACCCATTTAACCTAAATTATCCTTACTAACCTGTAATAGCAAGGACATTCCCTATTTGCCTTCAACATTTTTGTTACACAGAGTGAATGGCATTGCATGACGAAACGTTATGCCAAGAGATTAAGTATCTTCTCCAAAGAAATTACAGGCACTTCAGACATGAGTGGTCAGAATATAAAATACTGAGCGGCTGGTTGGCAGTCATAGCTGGACTCTAACACCTTCAGTGCTTTCTGTGAGATTTCGAGACAAAAACAAAGCAGCTGTTCCAACATCGGTACAGTTCCTGCATACAGAAAAGCCGTGCTATGTGCTTGGGGAAATTCTCATCAGGTTTGTAAGAAAAATAAAAAATGGCCCCTATGGGTCCATTTCCACTACAGATTCCTCCTTCCACACTGTTTGCGGAGCGTTGTGTCCATGTGAGTGGCAGGATTTTTTACTGCTGCTGTGAGCAGAAGTAGCCCTAAAGAGAATGGCATTTTAGCCTGGATGTTCACCGATGGGATAACAGGACTTCTTTTTGTCCACATCAACAGCG